TTAAAAAAGAGTTATTTAATTAAACCGTATTCAGTTTACGGAAATTCTTAAATTAGTGATTTATTATTTTGATGATTATTCACAGTTTACAATATAAATAACATTATTGTTTCGTTTGGTTTTTTTATGGACATTTATTCAGTTGACATATGGGGATTTTGTAGAAAATGTTCATTAATTTATAGGAAAATCGATATTTATAGTAATAAACCAAAGTAAAAAATGAACGAAAACTTTTATTTGAAATGTAAAAATATTGAAATATGAAGTTTTGATTTTCACTGGAGGACGAGCTGATCTAAGAAAAAAATGGAGTTACTGCTACTGAAATCTTAAATATCATAGATAGATTAGGCAGGATCTGTATAAATTCAGATCATAATGGACATTTTCTATAGGAAGCTATTTTTTTGCTGGAATCCCTTCAGGATGTGTCCAATCTCGATAATCACGATATACGCCTGTCGCAAACCCTGTGCTAAATTTTTATTTACCAAAATCTGAAAACAATTGACAATTTCTCATTTTTTTGCTCCTATTTTCGTTTATAATTCGGAAAATATTGATCCTAGAGAAAAAATTGTAAAAAGTTAAAAGTTTCGATATTCAATTTTACACAATATTCCGTTAGCTAGTAATTGAAAATTTATTGTTTATTGTTGAAAAAATAGCAATAATTGAAAAAAAAAAACGTACAAAAAAATTAAGTTAATCCTTAAAAAAGTTAATCCTTAAAATTTTTTCGACTTTCTAAACTTGACTTACAAGCTCCATATTACGCCTATAAAAACTTTTCATAAAAACCTAGTTTTTATTTTGTCCGGCACATCCGTCGCTTATTAGGATAAGATTTTTTGTGGTCACATCATAAGATTGTAAATATTGGAACAATAAATGAAGCTACTTCATTTTATCCTTTTCTTCCAATGGTTTCAACGTAAGAAAACATAGTTGCAGTATTATTTTCATCACTGTGCACACCAAATACGTATACATAGCTGCGTATCATTGAATACTGCATTGGTACGTATATGTGCCATTGGAAGGTTTTGCGTATAGTCAAAAGAGAAGCAACTGTAGTTCTCTGAATTATTACGTGCCTTTAATTTACATTTTATTTTTAGTTTATCTTTCCGTAAGTAGAGTTCTTTCTCAATATTTAATTTCCGCACGTCTTCTGGATCATCTCAACTAGCTTATAGTTTACTTTGATACCGATCGCAAGTACCACATGTATCACTTCTCGCTAAGCCAAATTCAAGGTCAAATTCGGTATGGAATGTTTTACAATATATTTTATAAGAACACTTTACACCAAGATGTTCTGCTATGAATGTTTTATACATCTCTTTGACAGATAGCGTCTCAAGAAGGTAATAGGTTTCTTCTTGAATAATGCCACTGTCGGTTTTTAAAAGATTTGATATGGCTCTTAATTAAAACCAATGTATTTTTGACGTATTATTTGGTCGGTTTGAATGCTTGCCTCGTTTATCCTTTGGTGATGATCCAAGACATGTTTTTGTAGCATTCATATGTTATTCCATACAGACTGCAAAAAGCCTTTACACATATTGGTTCTTTTTTTTGCAACCTTATTTTATAATTATAGATAGCAGAATGTTGGTCTTTGAGCGTTTGCGGAAAATAACCTTTGCTTGGCGCATCATTTTCTACTTAGTGTTAGTAAAAAATCCCTAATTTCAGCATTTTTTGGATTTTTGTTTGCTTTGGAATGTGATATTAGCCCTGCAATGAAATATACTTTTTAATATTTTAATTGTTTAAATAAAGCGATTAGGTTTCCCTACCAAATAACTATCTCGCATATTTTTAGTTTCTAAAGCATAAATGTTATCGAAAACTCGAGAATTTTTAGAAAACTCCTTATCAATAATTTTAGAATAACATTAAAACTGTGAGAACATTAATATTCCTAAAAGAAATGTTATAAATGTTTCACTCATCATTTTACAATTATGTTACAATATGTGTAATGTATCTGCAATTGGGACCTACTTGTATATGTGCTTTTTCTATGCCCTTATAATTAAAACGTTTTTATCCCTTCACTCTGGCGTGTTTTACCTTTATACGTCTCAGCACCTTCATTTTCTTTTTTAATAGCACATTTTCACTTGAACTTATTTCTTATAAAACTTATTTTACTAAATTGCTTTATGATGTTTACTTATAAAATCACACAACATAACCATTCAAAGGAACGTTAACCTATAAAAACCTATTGACAGCCAAACGATAAAGTTTTCTGCAAAAATACCAATAGTCATTAACAACGGGTACATGTAAACTCATCACAAAATTACCAAATATACCTGTACAAAAAGGGTGTACATATGTGGGAAATTATGAGTATAATTTCAGTGGATGTGGACTGTATTAAGTGATGACATGAATGGATTACAATGTCTTTTAAATGCCATTGATACAGTGGGAAGAGAGTTTGGCCTAAACATAAACTGTTCAAAAACAAAACACATGATGTTTAGCCGTTTAGCACATCAAGATGCACGATTATATGTTGATGGTCATATAATTCAAAGAGTGTCCAGTTTTAATTATCTTGGTTGCCATATTACTGAACAACTAGATCCAGATCAAGAGATAAAATGTAGAATCGAGATAGCCCGCACGACATTTTTAAAAATGAGGTCATTATTCTGTAATGATACCTTGAAACTTCAACTTCGAAAGCGTATGGTTAAATGCTATATTTGGTCAGTCCTCTTATACGGTGTCGAAGCATGGACATTAAAAATATCCACCATGAATCGTCTGGAGGCCTTTGAAATGTGGCTGCACAGACGTATACTAAAAATTCCATGGACGGCTATGCTGACAAATGTGGGAGTCCTTGAGAGAGCAAATGCAGCTCGCGAGCTGCTTGATAACATCAAAGGTAGAAAGATGGCCTATTTTGGACACGTAGTAAGGGGAGACCGATATAATGTTCTTCAACTTATTATGATGGGTAAAATCGAAGGATGCAGACGAATTGGTAGAAAGCAGGCCTCTTTAGAATAGCTCGAGACAGAGACAGTTGCGCGATGTTAATCGCCAACGTCAAGGGGACTTGATAGGGCACGTTAAGAAGAAGAAGGACTGTATTATATAGGGCTGGTTCAAATAAATTAGGATATGTAGTAAAGGGTATACAGACAATAGCAAATTAAGTTTATACAAAGTCTTACTAATATTTTTTCTGTTCCACACACCCGCGATTTTTCTTCTTATGCGCAAATGTCCGAGCATCGGTTTTTAAACACGTGTTTCGCGGTACTTACACTGATATCACGATTTAAAATAGTATATGCGGTATTTTTCGCGTAACTAAAGCGGAGAGAGATAATTAGCGATAGAAAATAGTCACGAGAGATGCTGTTCTTCTTGATAAGCGAAGAGAAAGAGAGAATGACCCTAGCGGTAGCCGACAATCAAGAAGGCACGACTTATCCTAGCGGTAGTCAAATCAAGAGGGCGTCTTTTTTTCTTGCTATCTTAAAACTGTCTTTATTTGTAATGGAGTGAGGTTAAAATGTGAGTAGGATTGGTGCAAGAGTTGGAATAAGATAATAATTGTAAAATTGTGATAGAAAGATAGTTAATAATACAGCAAAAAAATGACATGATTTATTCGCATGTGAAAAAAATGAACAATACTGTCGTATATAGTTCAACCTCATCACTGCCATAAAAGTAAGAATTTTCAAATAGACCCCGAGAGATTGGTAAACATTTCGGTACATTATTCGTAAAGAAAAAAAATTAATTGATGAAAATTTATATATTTCGGTAAGCAAATTGTGTACGAAAATATATTAAATAAATGACAATATTTCCAACGCTAAAACAAAGAAACATTCAAATCCGATCTGACTTTAACTATAAATTCCCAACTTTAACCCTATTCATAGGTACCCCGTCGGTCGTATCAATATTAGGCAAACAAAGGTGATGTAATACAAATATTTCCCGAACTAACCAACCTGAGTCGCATTATAGCTGTTTATTTGGGAGTGAGAAAGGATTACTTTAATAATGGAAAGTTCGCAGGCGAGATAACACCCTCCGCTCGGGTATAAAACGGTCGGTATCTATGTTGAAAGATCGTATCTACGGTGAATTTTATAGGCCGGCGAAAGCACCTATAACTGTCGAAAGAAATTGTTATTGCCACTATTGTTTTGAATAATTAATAGACACGTACAGTTCCAAGTGTTCTAATTTAAAAATTTAATTGACCATAGATTTTCCTTAGAATAAAACTGCAAATGTTTACAAACAGTTACAACCCTTCCCATAAACCAGGGCTTCCCAAACTGTGCGTTGTGACGCTCTGGGTCGTTCTTGGATTGTCCCACAGGCGTCGCGTGTCAGCGCGGATTTATAATGCAGAAAATGTATTTATTTGATTTTATATGAATATTAAATATAATGTATTAATAAATAAATCAAATAACAAAGTTAACATCAAGTCGATAAATACTTATCCGAAATTATTCAAATAATTGTTCAATTGAAAATTATTCGATGATCCACAAAATTATCCGAAAATTGGATAATTATCCAGATATTGGCAACACTGGAGACGAGTGAGTTGGCTACTCTCCCTCGTATTTCTTACTGTTGCATGTAGGGATATGTCATTTAGTCAAGGTTTTGTTTTGCATATGTACGCGAATCCACTATTGTGGTACTTCTGTTCTTGGACCTCCGGGAGTAGCAGTAACATTTGTTGGGTTTCCCATGATTCTTCAATAAATGTGGCAGATGCAAGTAAGGGAAATACTGTTGAAAAACTTCGTACCGAGTTTTTACCATTTCTTAGTTGCACTTGGATTGGCAATAAATCAGTAGTTTCTGCTGGACATAGCTGCATTCCGATTGTATATGGACTCAAAGATAGTGGCCAGTTAGCCTTTACTGCGAAGTTAGATGCTTCCCAGAAGAAGGAAAGCGGAGGATTGTCAGCCATGAGAATGTTCCATTCTTTGGACAAACAAGCCAGAAGTGAAACTTTCGATATCAATTTAGACTCGATTCATCAAAACGCCATAACTTGCGTCTGCATTTACACAGAAAAGAACGAGAAAGCTTCGAAGATTTCTACATCTGAAGCCGACGGACAGTTGGTTATTTGGGACTTGAATTTCTTGGAAAGGTCTATTCAAAATCTAATAATTGAGTAAACGAAAGTGTTTAAAAAAACTACTTTGAAATCAAATTTTAATTTTGTGTCTGTTAAGTTACTGAATTCGATTAAATGGTAAAACTTAAAAAAAAAATACAGCATGCTTGAATCACATTAGGAACGTGAAGCATAGTAGCAGCAGGCAGTAATTGATACACTATGTTTTCTGTTACTCTAATTCTTCCCGTATACATAAAGTTTATGAGTCTGGCTAAGACAGTGGCAGAAACGCCTTGTAACTTAACTCTATCCATATAACATTCTTTGAGTCCTCCGGTAAACATAGCCTTAAAATAGGGACTAGCGGTAGCCAAAACGACTGGGCATAGAAAAGGACTTTCCCTACTTCTAATACTACGTCAGTAAGCATTTGGTGAGCTCGCATCATGTCCATAGACTTCATGATTTCTTTAAGGTAGTCATCGATCATAAATGACATATCCCCCATGTCGGCGCTACCATTGTTACTTTTTTTACTTGTCCGCGAGTAGTAACTATTTGTGTAGAATTTATCTTCGCCATCCATTATCAATTTTTTGTTTTGGTTGGGTCCCGCTTCGAGGTTGAGGTTTAAGGGTAAAATGAGATGCACAGCGATGTGGATCTGCTTGCTTTCTTCCGCAACGAGAGTTTCTTGAAGAGTGTGTCGATAATAGGGAAAAATACATATGTACGCGAATCCACTAAGGTGGTACTTCTGTTCTTGGACCTCCGGGAGTAGCAGTAAATTAAGCTTAAACTGACATTTTAAACTTGCTACACAAAGGACAGGTACGTTTCCTTAAGGACTCTGAAGTGTTTGGGTTTGATAAATGTTTCCCAAAACATGTTATTTTTCAGACAAGTGAATTCTCAGAAATTGACAATAATTAATCAGCCAATTTGTGTTCAAAAATTTAAAAGATTTAAAGTCATATTACAATTAGCTAAAATATGATTAAATAAGATTTACAACTAAATAAGGTCATATTAGGAATAATAAAAATAAAATATTTAAATCAGTCTTGACGCTTTTCTAAACAGTTGCATGTAGGAATATGTCATTTAGTCAAGGTTTTGTTTTGTTTTATTATACACGCGGAGTTTTTTGCCATCAACAATGGATACTTAAATTCAAAAGAATAGAAAACGAAGTGAAGATCAGGCGAGAGCAGTAATGGTAATTTCAATAAAAAGAAGAAATATGGGAAATATGACGACCAATATTTGGATTTTGGACTTACCTGCGTTACTAAAGGGAATGTAGAATTTCCACAATATGTTGTTAGTCACAAAGTGTTGGCGGCTGAAAGTATGCTTCCTAATAAACTAAAACGGCATTTGGAATCAACTTACAGTCATTTACAATTCCTACCAAAGCAAAACTCTCCTCTTATGTGGTAGCTTACCTTGTTGTCAAATATAAAAAACCACATACAATGCTGAGGAACTGATATGTGCAGCGGTTGGTATGGTAATAGTAATTATTTAAAGAATCGGCAGCTAAACAAATAAAAAAATGTATTTTTTTCAAACAATATGGTTAGTCACCGTATTCACGATATGGCAAAAGATATTAATGAACAAATTGTGGGGAAACTTTCAAATTTATTTGCCATTCAACTGAACGAGGTAACTGACAGTAATGATAATGCTCAATATAACATATGCTCATATACAAGAAACAAATATATATTTATATATATATATATATATATATATATATATAAATTGTTATGATGTGTTGTTTCTGTATGAGCTATGAGTAAATTTAAATGATATATGTAAGTATAGGGTTTTTATCGCGGTTCTCAAAGAATTAGTTTGTAAGTACTTTTTTAAATTATCTTTATTATAACTATTATAAAACAAACATATCAATCTAATATAAGCAATATTAATTTAAAACAATCCATCTAAAATTTGAAATTCTTACAATTATTAAATTATTAACAAAATTTGGTACCTTTCTATCACTGAACGCCTAAAGTTTTTCCAAAATTAAAGTTATTTTCACCACTCGCTATCTCGCTTCTTACTCAGCCTTGGTTATCCAACAATTTTAATATGTTTCTTCTTAATTATCTCCACTCACCATATTTAATATACACTTTAACAAATCTACACTTTAACAGAGAAAGAAGAACAACTTACAAAATTATCCTGTGATTACAGCCTTAAGCTTCAAAACAATACTAACAAACTGTTTGAATTTTGGAGCTCAGTTTCTCATGAATATCATGCCCTCAGCACTGCTGCATTACATTCTTTATTACCATTTGGGACTTCGTACTTATAACAAACGGGGTTTGCTCCAGTTGCAGTAATTAAAAACAAGTACAGGTCAAACAGAAACTTAGAAAAAGAAATGGGAGTGGCAATTTTCAAACTGGAGCCCCGGTTTCAATAAGCTGTGCTCAAAAAATCAAGCTCATCCCACACGTTAACCAGCCAGTGATATAAATAAATATCCTTTTTCATTTTTGTGTCAATGTTTTGATATCGTTTTTAATTTCTAATAAAAAATATAAATGATCAAATAGTGTTTTTGTTATAACTATAACCTGTTACTAGGCTAGTACTAAAATTGGTAAGTATTATTGGGGGTTGTAAGTAAGGTCATAAGCTTCATATTAATTGACTTTTATAAGTATTAGTTTTTATCTTACCCCAAATCCCTTTCTAGATTATACATGAAAATGATTTCGGACCAATAATACGCATATAAGCGATCACGTATCTGCTCGAGAGCCATAATCCCTATTACCATACAAATACTTTTAATTAGTTTTCAAGTGTACATTCAATTTTGCGGCCAGGTCGTGATTCGCGCAGTTTCCAAATTTCATTTGTGTTGAATTAGTGGTAATGGATTCGGGGAGGGCGACTGGATAACCCCTAGAAGAAGGGCGAGTGGTAGGATCCTGCGATTATAACCACCGGCTAAACACCAGCTAACTATGTTTGAATTTTTTATGAGGAGGAATTTCGAGGTTTGATTTTTTGATGGGGATTGGGATGGCGGATAACACGACGGATTAAATTGAATAATGGAATTGAAGGGTTTATATTTCGGAAATTGAAATTATATTTTTTTAAAAAAAGTTAGAAAGCGTGATGAAATAAAAATTTTAAATTCTCCCTTATAATGTTTACCTCAAATATTACTACTTTAGAAATATATTTATAATCCTTCTCTATATACATTAATTATTATATAAACATTCTCTATATACCAGTAAGCATTTACGGGACCATTGATGAAAATAAGTTCAGTTCGAGCTTCAAATGAGATTCCAGCTAAAACCATCACACCACCACCGACAAACTTTCTTTTCTGGGAGATACAAGCTCAGGTACATTTCATTTCTTCAAACCCTCTGTCGGCTCCCACCAGACTACAATAGAACCGCGATTTATCAGTAAAGAGAATTTCGCTTCAATCCCATACATCCCAGTTTTGATGTTGTTGGGCAAAAACTAATCGATTTCTACTATGTCTGAATTTCAATTCGTGAATAATAGCCAGCCTTCTTCTGTATTAACTTATGCGGCACAAACATGGACAATCACAAAAAAGAATATGAATATACTTAGTCACTCAACACGTGATGGAAAGAGCAATGCTAGGTATATCACATAGGGACAAGAAAACAAACACATGGATAAGACAGAAAACCAAAGTCACCGATGTGGTGCAAAAATCATTAAAGTTGAAATGGGAATACGCTGGACATGTAGCTAGGAGCGATCTAAACAAATGACACAGATCAATTTTAACCTGGAGACCATACCAACACAAAAGACCCAGAGGCAGGCCTCTTATGAGATGGACAGATGATCTGAAAAGGACTGCCGGGAAAAATTGGCTACAAGTAGCGTACAATAAAAACCAATGGAAAGGAAGACTTGAAGAGGCTTATGTTCAGATGTGGAGGTGAATGGCTAGACGAAGAAGAAGAAGAAGAAGCTAGCCTTCTTGCCATTATTCCTCTTTAATTGAGACGTCTTTTAACCGTTCCCTCACATTAACGTTTTAAACCTCCTGCAGACGGTATGTTGCAACAATTGCAGTGAAATGGCAATTTCTTAAAAGGTCCATCACAAAAACGATCATCTCTTTGCGAGGTAATTTTCTACGACCGGTACCAGGTCTACGTGAGTATGCACCAGTCTCTGTAGAGCAATGGAAAGCTTTTCGTACCGGAAAAAACTCTCGAATGAAGTTTTGTCTTGCAAACCTATATCTCTAGTACCTGTACTATAGAAACGGTTGAACAGCTTTTCTTTTATTAAAAAGACTAAAAGGAAAAATTAAAGAAAATGACCTTATATAAGGGCACTACTTTGGTTTTAAAAGTCACTTACTAATAAATGAAGTGTAATTATATTGATAAAGTATAGAGGAAAGGAGCCAAATATGGAATACCATTTTTATTTTTTGCTGTCAATAAGTGGTTTTCGATCAAATGAATCTAATTCTTTAAGCTAAATTGGATAATAATTTCGTTCATCGGAATTATTATCTGAGGATTCAATCAATTCGATAAGTTTTTCACAAAAAAACTTTTACTGCATTGACACGTTTTTGTACTTAATACGGAATATGCACCTAATATGGAACACTGTATGTTTTAAATATGGAATAAAACAAAATTGTAGGAAAAATATTTATTGACAACTCAAACTTTTTTCATATTCTTATAAATAATTTTAAATATTTAAGAGAAAGGTACCTTGCAGTTTTTTAATTTTGTTTGCAGAAATCACATATGAATGTTTCCTGCGCAATCAACATGGCACCACTGCTGACAGGACAGACAGCGTATCCAATTTTCGCCTCGAACATCGTTTAAAAAACTTCCATCGCAGTAAAAGCACACTGCATGTGGATCTCCTAAATCTGTTATCGCTATTTCTGTGATATTATCGTCAGATGATTTGTCATCTAAACTCTCGACGTCAGACTCTGATGAAGAGGACTCTTTACGATGTGATCGTTTCATGATTTGGGAATAT